TATGGACAAATTCAAATTTAAGCAGCGAAGTTGCAAAGTCATGGGCAAAGACAGATATTAAAATACGGCTGACATTTTTGTTATCCATTATACTTTATTTCTTAGATAGGATTTCACTGTGTAGTCCTGCCTGACCTGAAACTACGTAGATCAGGCTGGCCTTGAACTCAGAGATCTGCCTGCCTTGACCTCCTGGATGTAGGGACTTAAAGATATATACCCTCCTACCCAGAATGCATTAGATTGAAAATTTTTTGTTCTTACGATTTATTTTATTTTTATATATTTTATTAATTAATTAATTTTTTGTTCTGTCTGCTTAAATGTTTGTGTACCATGTGTGTGTCTGAGAGTCATAAAGTTCATAAGACAGTGTTAGATCCTTTGGGACTGGAGTTACTGGTGGCTGTTAGCTGCATGTGGGTGCTGGGAACTGAACACACCTCCTCCAGCAAGAGCAATGAGTGATCTAAACTACTGAGCCAACTCTTCATGCCAAGGTTTATTGATTTTTATGATGTGTATAAATGCCTTCCTGTGTGTATGTATGTACACCTCACAGGCGTATGATGCTGGTGCTGGTGGGGGTCAGAAGACAACAGGTCCCCTGGAACTCGGTTCCAGGTGGTTGGGAGGCACCATGTGGGTGCTGGGAACCAAATCTGAGCCTTTTGTAAGCACGATCAGTGCTGATAACCACTGAGCCATCTCTCCAGTCCTGATGTTCTTATTCAGGATTTACATACTCACTGATCTCCAGGACTTGCTCTTGTAGAATAAAAAAATCACAACAATGCCACGTGTTTCTTCCTCTGTTTTGATTTCTTTGTCTTTTTCCAGGACTAAACACCACATGTACTTTCTCCTCCTACACATCTCAGGGTTTAAAATATTTTTTTAAAAAGAAAACTGGGTAACTGTACACATTGAATCTGCCAGCTGCACACATGCCACAGGAACTTATGTCTTGATGGGGAAGGGCCCATTTGATCATGGACCTGAGCTCACCAGAAGCAAAAGGTGATCAATCATGTTGGCATTCTTAGTTGCTGATCTCATCAAGAGGAAGATGGTCATATGACTTTACCACTGTCTTGGTCAATATACCTCACCATATGAACCAAAATGGTGGTATCCATAAATTCCCAACAATTACGGAGTCCTTCGGGTCTATCTAGGTGTTTGGTCACCGTCTCACTCTCCCCCTTTTCATAATATTTTTCCTTTCTGTTGTTATCTTCTTGCATGATCTAAGGCATTATGAAAATTGGAGACGCAGAGGAGACACCAACATAGGCTGTATTGCCAAGTGATAAGGTCAGTGCAGTTTTTTTTAACCCTGATTTAAAAAAAATCTAAAAATGTTTTGAGATTATAACTAATTCACACCCAACCATCCCATTTACCCCCTTGCTCTCTTTCAAATCCTGCCCTCTTTTTTAGTAATGATGTATGTGTGTATATGTGTGCACTCTGACATGCATGCGCATGCACACACACACAGCTCAAGCTGTGAGTTACTTATATGTATATTTTCAGGGCTGAAAATTTGGGATTTGATAACCAGTGGTGTGCTCTTCCCCGAGGAATTTATTTCTCCCTCTTTCAGCATTCCGTAGGTGTCTGTAGCTCTTTGTATAGGATTGAGATCTCCTGTGCTCTTGTCCAATCAAGGTTAGTGTGTCTACTGCCATTGCCCTTGTTCATCCATGTTTAGACAGTCATGTTGATGAGATTGTATGTGCGTAATTTCTGACGTTTATACATGTAATCTCCCAGCAAGTTTCCTCTAGCTTTTCCAATGCTTCTGCCTCACTTTCCATTAGATCTCTGAGCCTTAGTTGCAGGAGCTGCACTGTAGACTTGTCATTTAGGACTTGGCTCCACAATTATGTATTTTGATTAGCTGTGGTATTCTTTAATTGCTTCCATATGTTGCAAAAAGAAGTTTTCTTGATGAGGGGTGAGACTACATTTGTTTGTGGGCATGAGGATAAATATTTAGAAAGTAGTTGAGTATTTATTCTGTTTTAGTGAAGTGGCAGTGGTAGGTTCTCCTTCAAGATCCATGGCTTCACTAGCCCTGGGCGGTTGGCTGGGTTTCCAGTATCATGCATGGTTTCCTTCTTGATGGTTGGGTCTTCAGTCCAGTTAGAGAGCCATTGGTTACTGCCAAAGGACTCATGCCACTGCTATGCCCTTAGTGTTATCAAGCCATGCTGGCTCTATTTGGGTTCATAGGCACCATAGGTGGGTAGGACAGATGGTTGCTTCCCAGTGTTGGAAGGTTGCATGGCACCTTCTGGCACCATGTAAACTAGTCCCCTGGGAGGAGGTATTCAAGTCAGTTCCGGCTCAGGGGCCTCTGGGCCCTGTTCCTGAAGTGCATGGTGTCTTCAGTAATAGAGACTCAACTTCCACCTCTGGGGGGCAACCAAGGGCAGTAGCAGGAGGCTATAGTGTTTGAAAGTTTCTTAGTTCTTTTTTTTTTTTTTTTTTTTTTTTTTTTTTTTTTTTTTTTTTTTTTTTTTTGTTTTTTCTGTTAGATGCTCTTTGGCAGGAGCATTGTCAGCCCAGATGAGAACATTTCATTTAAACTATGCATGCATATTTATAAACCACCTCACTATGACTTTTCAGACATTCTTACCACTAGTTTACTTTCTCTCCTCCTTTTGTACTTGTCTCCCCTCTTCCTAATTAGAACATCCTTTCCCCATTTCCCTCTTCAGATCACTTGGACCCTGTGATTCCCCTTTACTGTCTTTTAAAGATTTATTTTTATCCCTTCCCTGGCACGTGCAAGCATGCGTGTGTGTGTGTGTGTGTGTGTGTGTGTGTGTGTGTGTGTGTGCATGAGTGCAGGTGACTCTGGTGTCCAGAGGCATCAGATGCTATGAAGCTAGATAAAGTTAGAGGCAACTGTGAGCAGCCTTCTGCAGGTACTAGGAACCAAGCCCAGGTCTGCAAGACTAGGAAGTGTTCTCAATGACTGAGTCATCTCTCTAGCATCAATATTTGAGTGTTTGTTTTTCTTTGATGTTTTAGAGCTTCAGTTTTATAAATATAATTTCATTGGGCTGTTTATTTATGTATTCTTTAGACTTCATGAATTCGTCAATGAAGTTCAAGATTGTTCTTTTCAGGAGGGTTGAAGGGGAGGGGACAAGCAGGGAGGGGAACAGAGAAAAATATAGAGCTCAGTAAAAATCAATTTAAAAAAAGATTGTTCTTTTCAATTCCATGTCCTGGGGTTCATTGAGGTAGTTCTCACTGGTGAACTATTCCACAGGACTGGTGGATTTGGGAAGGGAGATACTGGTATAATCTTCCATATTGTTGGTATTTTTGCCATGAGATCTGGGCATGTGGACTTCTTTTGTTAGTTCTGTGTCCGTGTGAACAGAGAAGGTTGGAGCAAAAGAGAGGATGTAAATGTGGGTTGGCCCTAGAAGTTGGGAATGACTTGGGTGGAATGAAGTCAGGGGGACAAAGGGGACCGGGCAGGTGCACGTACTGTGTCTTCCTGACCCAAGCCTGGAGTGTAGAAGATCTTGCTGGATGGAATGGTTGGATGTGGTGTGGAAGGGGCCTGGGTGTTGGTGACAGGCAGGGTGGGCCCTATCAGATGCCTGGAGGTTGGTTCCAGTGCAGGCTGGGGTCATCTGATTAGATGGTACCCATGCTGGCTCTGGAAGGTTAGGGAGGTTGCATAGTGGGTAGGGTCAGGTAGACTCATGGAGCTAGATTCTGGAGAAAGGTTTGCAAGATTTGGCTGGGTAGAAAAGTTCCAATTTAATCTTTAAGCCTTGGTTCCAATGTAACTCATTCTTAATTTCCTTCCCATCGTGGGGCTACTAAGCAGAACTTGTTGCTGATTCTGAAGGCTCTCCTGTGCCTACGGCTACTCCCAGTGGAGGAAATGTGTGTGAGCACACTTCCACTACCTGCCTTCCTTCACCTCTTTCTCCATCTTAGCTGCTTCTTTTAGCACATCCCCTCTCAGGACTCAAGCATATGCCTCCAAACCCTAAAACAACCACAGAAGCTGGAGAGTTCAGCAAAGGAACAATACCCAAAGCTTTAGAAAGCTCAGCACGACAGCCTCTCATCCTGAACTAGAGGGGCTCCAGGACAAATCCAGGACAAATCCTGGTGACAGCTCCCTCTGAGCAGTCTTTGACAGCGGCTTAGCTGCTTGTGTCTTCTGCGCCAAGCAGCCATTATGGCAGGTTTACTTGGCAGAACAACTCACCCCTGGTTTGGCCAGCTACACACGATCTCGAAGGCATAGTGCAGGCTGGCTGCTTCCCTTGCAGAGTGGGGCTTCCCACGGAGCTGGCACACAGGAGCATGCTGGAGTGTGGAGTCAGAAAGGCAGCGCTGCCTTCTTTTCCTTAGAGAAAGGTTAGATGTCATGGGCCAGGTTAGAGCTGCAGTCAGGTTGTAAACCACATCCTAGGTAAGAAGCTGCCCTAGAAGAGTGAGAAAGGAAACCCACAATGACACTAAAGCAAGAACTGTGCACAAAGACATCTCAGTGTCTAATCCAGGCAGTGTTTCCAAATGGCCAGCCGTCACTGCCCACATCAGAATCTGCTGGAGTCTTTGGCAAACCACAGAGGCTCCTGGCCTTCACACCCTAGAAGCAGAGCCTTTGGGCATGTCTGAGAAATCTGCCCTCGAAGCAGGTACCTGGATTGCTTTAATATGTCTTCAGTAGCCTAGAGCTCAGGAGCTGGGCTCCATTCTTTCTCAGAATAGCATTCTGCTCTGGTAAGACAACCAAGTAGAGTACCTCAGCTTTACTTGCCTTACTCTGGGCCTTGGCTTGGGAAGGCCCGGGAACATATCCTGGAAATACATGGGCCAGTTTCCTCTAATTCTGTTGTTCTCTGAGCATCTGTATACAGGCTGGAACAATGTTCAAACCCTTGTATTAGGGGCAGAGCAGTACCAAGGAATTAACTTTGTTTTTCTTGATTTCTGTCACTCACCAGATTCCAAACATGCAGGCCTGACAGCTATGACCTCAGAAGGAAACTTCACTAAAGCAACTTCTGTGTGTTCTGCATAAAGCTGCAGCCTGGGAAGGGGGTGACTCACTGTTCGCTGAAGGTGAGTCTCCACTCCTTCTCTGAATGTTCTTTGAGGAATTCCAACCTTTCCTTTCTTCCTTAGTGTATTTTTAAGAAGTTGGCCAGGTCAATCACTGGTGGCAGTGGCAGAATGGTAGTGGGACTTAGGTTGTCTTTGAGGGTAGCTTCAAGGACAGCAGGGGCAAAGAGGGGCTAGGTGTATCCAAAGGGAGAGAGAATGTTGGGTCTTTTTGTAGCCTCTGCCTGTGGGGCACCTCTCACCATGGTCCCTTCTCTCTCACCATTTGTCTTCCTAGACGTTAATGAAAACAAATCCAAACAGGGCCAGATAGAAGAGAAGCAAGGTAGGGAAAGGAGAGGAGGAAGAGAGAGAAACTCAGAGGGAAGGAAAGGAAAGCAATGCACAGGCACTGCCAGAGAGACCGTAAGAAGAACTTGTCGCGAAGGAGTAAATGGTCAGTTAAAGATGAATGTAGATCCTTGTCAGATTAAGCATGTGAGATCAATGGGTGCTGCTTCTTATTGTCATTTACGGCACAAGGAATAGAGGTACAGCATAAAGACAAAGTCTCAGGTAATAGAAGGAGGAAAAGGGGAAAGAAAAATTAATGAAATTAGCAATTATGCCCAAAAATTCACAATTAAAGCAGGCTAAAAGTGTTAAACCTCTGACCCCAGAAATCTTCTAGAGTTGAGTCCTTTGGTGCAGTAAGATTTCCAAGGGCTCCTGCATAGATTCTGGTTCACTCTATACAGACTAAGCCCTGGGGCTTCCCAAATGCCCAGCAGTTAAGGCTGTAAGGCACAGCTTCCTGTCTGCAGGTGGCTTTCTTACTTATGGCTCGGACTCCAGCATTTGGTTTGCTTGGAAAATGTAAGGGATTCTTGCGTATTCTGCAGCCCAGACCGCAGCCTTGAGGACATAGAAGATGATTGCAGGTAGCCCAACTCTTTTGTCCATGTGCCTGGAAGAACTGCACCAGGCTGTCTGTCGGGTACACCACAGACTCAGCCCTTTGCCTGGTCACACTGTGAGCCGTTCTGTTGCCTGGTTAGGTTGTCATCTGTTCTGGAAACTTAATTCAAGCTTTACTTCCCTTGGAGAGCCTTGATCAAATCTCAGCAAGATTGTATTCTCCCACCCCAAGGTTGGTTCAGTTTGATTTTCAGCCCCACCACAGAACAGAATAACTGCTCTTTTGCTTGTCATCTCCACGAATCCAAAAACATCAGGGCCTACTGACACGAGTGGAAGAACAATTGCAATAAGACCCTGTCCATCCATTTTCTACCATATCCTTAGCCACCCTGCAAGGCAGTCTTGTCTTAGCCATGCTGTGCCAGCTGCGAAGCCAATCTTACTCTTTGAAAAATCTCCACTGTTTTTTGTCTTGGCCTGTTTTGTGGACAGCAGCCTCTGGAAGTCCAAGGGCCTGGTGTCACATCTGTCAAGGTCCAGTGTGTTGAGCATCTCATGGCAGAAGGCAGAAGGGGAAGAGAGTGGGAGAGGGACCAGACTTGCTTTCATAACACCCCCTTCTGTAATGACTCAACCTGTTGGTAAGGCCAGAGTTCACCTCTCTGTGGAAAGAGATGGCGGGGGTGTTAATGCCAGGCATTAACTTGGAAGGACACTCTCAAATCACAGCAGACAGCAGTGAGGCTACACTGGGGCAAATAGCTTTCTTAAGCTTGCCCACCCATTCAGAAAGTCAAGAGCTATTTTCCTACCTCAACCCTAGAGATGATGAGCTCTTGTCACTGTCCTTTGTCTCCTCGGTGCGCAGGAGCAATTGCCAAGCAGACTTCAGCCAAGGCCCTGCATCAGAGCCTACTTTTCCTTCTCCGGCTAACCCCTGCCATGACAGTGCTACCTGGAGGCGCTATGTTTGCATCTTTCAGTCTCTCCTACCTCCTTCTAAATAGCTTAGTGTGTGTTAGAAAGATCCCCAAAATAAACAGAGGTTGCAATAAAACTTTTCTGGGAATCTTTCTTTGAGGGCAATGGACTGTAGGGGTTTCAAATTGTTGTAATGTCTAGGGTTCATTTTTCTGCTTTGGGAGTGGAATGTAGGAATGTATGGCTTACACAAACACAATTAAATGCAAATTACCCGTGGAAAGGCAGCCACTGGCCATCTTTTAGTGTGGAGAAAGATACAGTTTTGTGGGGCTGAAGAAATATCTGGAAAAAAAAAGCCATTTCTACTGCTCAGGCCTTTCCCTTTGTAAATGTTCATTTAAAACACTGAATTCCCAAGGAAGTCGATGTTTTATATGTTTATTTTGTTGATTTGTGAGTGTCACAGAGCATGAAATCTTATTTTGAAGGCTCTATTCTTACTTGAGAAATCTGCCTAGGATTCGCGTTCTCCGAGTCCACATTTGGAAACTTGATGCAGCTTCTACCACTTTGGGGGCACTTTTGAGTTCTCTAAAATAAGCTGTTTAAGATTTTTTTTTTTCCTGCTAAAGATTGTTCAGGGACAGAGTGCAGGCAATTTGTTGTGACTCATAACGAGTTGATTTATTCAGTGATTGCTGAAAGCAGCCTCCACATTTTAAACATAGCATACTTGTGTATTTAATACACATGCTAAACCGTCATCTCTGTGAAGCTGGTGCCGGGCATTTGAACCGAACACCAGATGGAAATTACTTCTCCTGCTATTCCTTTCCCATCGCCTAAATGTGACCAGCAAAATGGGAAGCCATGGGAAATGGCTTCCCAAACAATAATAATGATAACAACGGTCTGAGACGATCTTGCCAGATACCTTCAGATGGCATGGCATCATAATGGCCATAACTGCTATAATAGGCCTGCTTTACAGATGGCAGCCGAGCCAGATCAAACCCTTCATTAGTCCTTCTCGAAGCTGTCATATACTTTCTCTTCTTTATGGTTCAAAGCACAAAAGGCCCTTTGTGCCTTTAGAGACTGCTGCAATTTCAAACGAAAGGACAAGCACGTTAGCCGCTCTTATGCATGAGCCGTATCATCAGCATAAAAATGAATTTGTAATATTTTGCCACATGTGATGTATTATTGCCGGGCTATGTAAACAATCCTGGGTCTGCAATTGAGCCTCGGGGACTCCCTTTACAACTGACAAATTGAGAAACAAGGCCATCAACTCTCACACATTGCATCCGCTGAGTTAAATAACTCTGCCAAGATCCATTTCCAGCCCAGTCTGAGATAATCTCTGTCCTGTAATAATAAATCATAGTCAAGGGTGTCGGGTGCCCCAGGCAGATCTATAAACCTGTAAACATCGCTGTGCTACACAATTCGGCTCTCTCACAAAAGCTCAAGCCAAGTCATTCACGGCTTTAATCTCGACACTGGTCAGCGTTGCATTCATGGCTCCTGGCTGACCAGCCCAAACAGCCGTGCTGCTCTTTGGAAGGAGATCAAGGTTGCAGTCTCCTCTCTTTGTTGATTCTTCAATTTTCTAAGCTACAGGATTCAGTGAGAGCTTGTATCTGCACTGGGATCAGGCCACTGATGGGGAGGGGCTTGGGGGGTGGCGGTGCAGGTTGTGGGCAGCACTACTTGTTCCGTAGGAAGGAAGCCGAGCAATAAGCTGGTTGCTGAGCAAATGACCCCATGGTTACCGGACCACAAGTGAAGGCTTGGCAAAAAAGGGGGGGCACCCAAGGGAATGGTGAAGCTGCGTGGGTCTATTGTTCCTGCATTTTGCTTTGGTGACATGTGTGCACACACTCTGGGGGTTAATCATGTGATGGGTGGCTGTGTTGGTCACAGTAGGGTTAACACTCACTCTTATAAGGTCGATGCTTATACACCAATTCCGCTTGGCTTGCCAGGGGATAGCATCCTGGTGTGTCAGTCATGAACCGAGACTGCTGTGCGTGGAGGAGGTATTTAATCCACCTAACACGCGGACCATTTGTGCGTGACTGAGAACTGTCTGCTCATGTTGACAGGGTAGGCACTTCCTAGTCTGTCTTTAATCCTTCGACCTACCCAAATGTTTGCAATAGTTCTGCTCTTCTCTTGGTTTTGGTTAGTTGAGGACTTCAGTCCACACACGCTGAAGGGGCGCGCACTGGAAAGGCTGACTGGAAGAAGAGCCCAGGGAGAGAACTTGGAGTTTGGTATGAGATACACAACTCCTTATATGATTAATGCTGGACAAAGAAAGAATTAGCATTTGTTAAACACATACTAAATTCCAGTCATCACACTGCCTGTCTGGGACACGTTATTTTATTTATTCTCCACAGTAATCCCATTGGATGTTACAGCCCTTCTTAAACACAGAGCAAACCAAGACAGAGAGAGATTAAGTAACTTGTCCAGACTCACACAGCCAGCTTACCGCCAAAGCTGAGATTGGAAATCCTGTGACCATGGGCCCATGCATTTTCTCCTGTGCCCCATGGCCTCCAACCGCGCTGTCTTAAACGAATAGGTCATCTTTGTCTTAAGGCTGCATAGACAAATAGGATTTGTGCCAAACTCAGCTGATTAGCAGTATGCCTGGAATGCTATGTTGAGAAAGATTCTTATTGGGCAAGATTTCTGGCTGATTAGATGTCTGCCATGTGCGCTGCTGTGGAGGATGGTAGAACGCTGCCTGAGCATTCTTATTGGTCAAGATTGTCTGCTTGATTAATGTGTCTGCCAGATGCTAGGGAGGAGGGCAGGACAGGGCCTTTCATTGCTGGCTCCTCTTCAGGTCTCTAGGAAACATGGGTCCTCTCCAGGCAGGACTGTGCCCATGTGAACCTTGGGCTGAGCCCAGGTGTGGCCCTGCATCTGACCCCATTGTCATGAATTGGTAATCGTGTTTCGTTCACATTCTGCTGGGGAGAGTTCCATCGAGAGGATGTCTGCCAGTTACCGGGTTAGAAACTGGGGAGTGACCAGTCGGCACATTGGGTACTCGAATTCTTCAACAGTAAGCCGGCCACCAGGCTCTTTGCTCTCACACACGCTCTTTAGAGAACAGTTCTTTCCTATTTTCCCTTGCTGACGAAATGAAACCCAG